TGGTTGGAGTGTCATCTCATATACCAAAAGATGGCGAGTTTGATCCCCTGCTGGGACGTGTACAGGAGGCAACTGATTGATGTTTCTCTCACATTGATGCTTCTCTCTCTTCTCCCTATCTCTCTAAAATCAATAAGCATCTCCTCATGTGAGGAACATGAAAAGATTCAAGATTCCATCAGGTTCAAAGTTCTTGAGAGTTTCTCCTAAAGACATTTCCATATTTGAGGATTTCATCAAAGAGTACCTAAAGGAAAAGACAAAAAATATCTTAATATCCAGAGATATGCAAAGTCCAATTTTCTTATTAACCTCAGTGGGATGTGCAGACTTTTCTGAAAACTTGGGAAGAAGTAGGTAATGTGTATAATTTGGACCTGAAGGACCTGGGTTATGAGGCTACTTGTTGAGAACACTTTTTTCTTGACCCCGATGTTTCCTTCCTGGATAGAAAATAATTCAGTGTACCGCCAGGCTTTTCTCTGCCCTATATATTTATTACCACTATCCCCTCCCCTCATCCCCTGGGTGGGGGATAGAGTTACAACCTGATTGGCAAACTTGGGAAGAAGACTGGGCATACTTTTCCTCTTGGTAGCCAGTTATCCATAAAGAATACATATTTTGTCCTCCAGAGACAGGCCTTGCATTAGGCCATGTGTGGGAGTTTTTTGTTGTTGTTGTGGTTGTTGTTTTTTGTTTTTTTGGTTTTTTGGTTTTTTTTGGTGTGGAGGCATGGCTGGCTAAATCTTGGCTCAAGTCTTGTTATCTAATCTGGCCTGTTTTCAATTGGTGTCATCGGTTCTCTGGTATCCATTTTTACTGAGGTCAAAAGAAATCAGTTAACTTAATAGAAACCTGTTTTTCAACCTTGGAATGATTTGGAGGATCTAAAATAATGAAGGCTAAGCTGAGACCCGTGTGAGTGAGTCAATGAAAGGGGTGAGGGGAGGGTGCAGAGGGAAGTGTCCCAGGCTGATGAAACAGCATTTACAGGGGGACCGATGCAGCTCATTGGGGGACTGCAACCGGACTGTGAAACAAAGAGGTCTTAGGCAGGCCTGGCAGGCTCGGCAGGACCAGATGGTGGGGCCCTAACAGGTCTGCTGAGGAGGTGCAGAAGTACAACATGATGTGCTATCATTCATTCATCCATAAAACAGTTTGTGCCTGCCATTTTAGGATGCTGAGGAACTGTGTTTAAGGCAATGATAAACAGGAAAAACAGGGTTCCTACCTTTATGCTAGTAGAGAAGAGATGATAAATAAGTAACCGATAAACACTTTTGGAAACTTACCTGCTGTTAAACAAATAAAACAGGGGAATAGAATTGGGGTAATGATGAAGGAACGGGCTGCTATTTTAGAAATGTCAATGGAAATATTTGAGCTGAGACCTGAACAAGAACAAGAAACCAAAATCTGCATAAGAAAGACATAGCAAAGGAAACAACTCATGCAAAAGTCAAGGGTGGAATGAACTGAGTGCCGCAAGGGCACAGTAAGGGGACTGGAGGGAGCGAGAGAGAGAATGCCGTGGCGGCCCCGGCTGATGAAACTGGGAATAAAATGGTCAATGCCACACGCCCAGAGTGCATCATTTTATACCTCATTATTTTCTTTAAATCTAGTAACATCTGACCTAAGCCCCATCCCATCCAATGTCTGCCATGAGAGTCTCTGTCACCTATAGTCTCTGTCACCTATCTTGCTTGGGTCTCACATAATTCTAGAGGCAAGTCTGGGAGGTCTTTGACGATAAGGACTGAGCTGAGTTGCTAATATTCATAATTTGAAACCTCTAGGAAAAGGCAACTGCAGGCTCAGGAACCAGGGCTTGTTGTGAGCTGCCAAGCAAGAGACTTCTAGCCTCTTATAAGGCATGTTGAGGCTGGTGCAGTCTGTAGGTCACAGGCACTGTCCTCTGCCCCCTGCCAAATCCCCTAGGACGAGGGAGACTATCAGAAAACAAAAGGCAGACTGTGTTGCTCCTACTTCCTACTGGGTAACTCAAATCCTCTGAGGCAAAGGAGCAAAAAGGCCTTGCTATTTGCTCAAACTGAAAGTGGGGTTGGGCAGTAATTGCCTGCATGCGTATTTTAGAACAGTCCCACTTTGCTGCAGCATGGAGTACAGAAATTAGGAGGGTTGGAAACACAATTTTCCCCTTAAAGTTCAGTGGAGACTATGTCTAATTTCAGTGGCTACCAGTCTCTGGGGAGTCTCTGAGCCCATGACTGCACTTATCCAGCTTCTGAGTCACAGTACTAGTGTGGGAGGGCAGAAATCTTTTTTCTCTTTGCTTCTGCTCTGAGAATTCTCATGTCAAAAGAATTATTGCTGACTCCATCCTTGCAGCACAGACTTCAAAGTAAAAGAATGTGAAATAAATTAATTTTTTATTGGTTAGGAAAAATCTAAAAGGCCCGAGTCATAACTCCTAATGCTCACAGCTAAAGGCATGTCTGCTGGCTTAGGAAACTAAAACACGCTGGGTGTGGGGCAGCCTGATGTGGCCAGTGCACCTGAGCTGGCAGCTGTCTGGTTCCTGCTGACTTTTCAAGCTTAGAGATAGTCCCTATCAATTCTGCATCTCCAGGTTAACCCTCTCTGCCTCTCAGGTAGGTCCACATGACAAACTGCCATGGACAGCTTCAGAAAAAAAAAAACAATAACAAAAAAACCCTTTCTAATCAAATGTACTCTTTCTTGGAACTATTTCTACATCCCCAAATTTGTCAGATCTGTCATTCCCTTAAGTCAATCAAGCTAGTAAGCTGCCATTTTTAATTTTCTGCTCTCTAGATCCCCATCTATTAGGCTGTCAAAATATAGATTCTGTAAAATAACGCTGATTTTTACCATGAGTGTACAGCCTATAGAACTCAATTCTAGTAATACCATCCTGCGAGAATTACTACAGGAGGGACGAGTTATTTTCCTACCCTGATCTTTCTGTAATTCTGTCCAATCATCAGATCGTTCTTGTGAGGCTGCTTGGCATCACAAGATCCTTGAAGCAAGGAGAATAGTTAATTATTTCATTTCAAAGCTTCCCCCATATTGGAATAAAACATATTTTGAAAAAGCAGAGAACTGTTATAGATCACTTTGTTTCAACAGAATCTGTAGGGGAATCGGGAGAGAAGGGAACATGCTTTTACCGATCCTTTAAATATTAACTTTAGCTCTGGCTGGTGTGACGCAGTGGATTGAGTGCTGGCCTCCAAGCCAAAAGGCCGCTGGTTCAATCCCCGATCAGGAGAAATGCCTGGGTTGTGGGCCAGGTCCCCCGTTTGGGGTGTGCAACTGGTCAATGAGAGGAAACAGATCAATGTATCTCTCCAACTTTGCTGTTTCCCTCCCTCTCTGTCTCCCTCACTTCCCCTTTCTCTAAAAGTAAATTAAAAAATCTTAAAAAAAAACTAACCCAGTAACTTAACTAGACAGGAATGTCAAACCTATTTTGATGTTCTATGCTAAAGTTACCAAAAACATAACACACTCATTTCTTTTGTTACAGTTGTCCCCATTTTCCCATTACTCTCCCCCACCCCACCCACTGCCAACCTCCCACATTCAATCCTCCCCTCACCCTAGTTCTTTTCCATGGGTCCCTTATACATGTTCCTTGACAACCCTTCACCTTCTTTGCCCTGTTATCCCCCTACCCCGCTACTCTCGTTACTGTAAGTATGTTCTTTATTTCCATGTCTCTGGTTCTATTTGCTTGCTTGTTTTGTTGAGTAGGTTCCACTTATAGGTGAGATCATACAGTATTTGTCTTTCACCCCCTGGCTTATTTCACTTAGCATAATGCTCTCCAGTTCCATCTATGCTGTTGAAAAAGGTAGGAGTTCTTCTTTCTTTCTTCTCCATAGTATTCCATTGTATAAGTGTACCACAGTCTTTTGATCCACTCATTTACTGACGGACACTTAGGCTGTTTCCAACTCTTGGCTATTGTAAATTGTGCTGCTATGAACATTAAGGTACATAGATTCTTTTGAATTGGTTAAAATACCAATGACATTTCATAGAGATAGAACAAATATTTGAAAAATTCATATGGAACCCAAAATGACCCTGAAAAACTGCAGTAAACAAGAACAAAGTAGGAGGGATCACAGTACCTGACATCAAACTATATTACAAAGCCACTGTAATCAAAACAGCATGGTACTGGCATAAGAACAGACACATAAATCAATGTAACAGAATAGAAAGCCCAGAAATAAAACTGTATCTCTATGGTTAATTAATATTCGACAAAGGGAGAAGCATATAATGGAATAAAAATATCCTCTTCAACAAATAATGTTGGAAGAAGTGGACAGCTACATGCAAAAAAAATGAAACTCGAGGTCCTGGCTGGTGTGGCTTAGTTGGACTGAGGGCCAGCCTGTGAACCAAAGGGTTGCTGGTTCGATTCCCAGTCAGGGCACATGCCTGGGTTGTGGGCCAGGTCCCAAGTAGGGGTGCTCAAGAGGCAACCACACACTGGTGTTTTTCTCCCTCTCTTTTTCCCTTCCTTCCCCTCTCTAAAAATAAATAAATAAAATCTTTAAAAAAAAGAATGAAACTTGACCACCAACATACTCCATGCAAAAAAATAAACTCAAGACGGATAGAAGACTTAAATATAAATTGCACAACACCATAAAAGTCCTAGAGAACACAAGCAGGAAAATCTCAGATAATCCACACAGCAATATTTTCACTGATATGTCCCCTAGAGCAAGGCACATAAAGGAAAGAATAAACAAACGGGACGTCATCAAAATAAGAAGCTTCTGCATGGCTAAAGACAACATCAGCAAAATTAAAGGGGAACCAACCACATGGGAAAATATATTTGCCAATGATACCTCAGACAAGGGTTTGATCTCCAAAATCGATAAAGAACCCACACGACTACACACAGGAAGAGAAACAATCCAATTAAAAAAAGGGCAAAGGATCATTTCGATTTTTTATTAAAATACTTTTTTGTTTACAGGGACAACCAAAGAAAAAATACATAATTTTATATGTTATAGATCATGTAAAATATAACAAACACAGGCTCATGGGAATGCATAATAGATTTAAAAATATTCAAAGAAGATTCCATAAAAACAAACTTTAAATATGTTTATTTATATATTTACCTCATTTTTCAGAAGTTTCTTTTCTCCATTTTAATGCTACTGTGATTTATAAATAATTGTTCAAATATTCTAACATCTATTCAATTTTGTTTTTCTGAAACCTTAGAAATCATATTTCTAAATGAAGAATGCTCTTTATAGCATTCTATATAAACAAAGACATTTTATTAGAGTTACTACTTGATTTGGTGCCACTGTAGTTTCAGTGATAATTAGATATTATTGGGAGGACTGGAGGGGAGAGAAAAAACTGCTAGCGAGGACATGTTTTACTATAGGAAAGAACTTTTTATGTACTGTTCTTTACAATACTTACTGATGTAAAATTTAGTGCTTTTTTAATCTAGTTATAAAAAAGGTAAGAACCTAACTTTTGATTAAACAATTTTTTTTTTTTTAAACCAGACCTTCTATGTAGAAGTGAATTGCGGTTAGCATGGTAATAAAAGGTCTAAATTTTAGCGGAGCTACCAGCATCCCAAATGTTATACTTTTATTTTGAAAATATATTTATAGTCAAAATCTGAAATGGAATCTTTCAGGTGAACTCCATCTTTCAACACCTTCATAACCCAGTAAAATTAAGCATTACATTTATGGATAATTTCCAGTGGAAGAAAGAGAAGTAAGAAAAATCAGTTAAAACATAATATGGTTCAAGAAATTATCCTCCCAATGTAGGGGGAAGAAAATATATTACATTTTAAAATTTAATAATGAAGACCAAAAAAAGACAATAAATGTAGTTTTAAAAAATTTGTTGTTGTATTTAAGGAAACATTAAGCATGTTGCCAATACACACAAATATTCCTCTATTCATAGGTAATTATAACATTACTTTGAAAAACCACAAAGTCGAAATGAACCAGCTGGCTACAGATTTCTTTAAAACTTATATTCAAGAAAACCTTCACCTTCATTGGTATTAATGAATAACAGGAGCTATAATGTTTTCAAGGCACTTTTAAACAGAGGCATTCTAGGTAAAAGTTAAGAAAAGGTTATCCCAATGTTTTCCTATTAAAAAAATACATCCATAAGCTAAATTTCAACTTTAGAAAAAACTAAAGTACCTTGAGTATTCATTAGATTTATCTGAAAGAGCAGAAAAGGTGTTAAGGCTTCAAACTTTATGATAGTTAATCATAATATTACATATGATCTTGTAACTACTGTTCAGATAATGAATACAAAGTGTCTAAGAGCATTATCTATTTTTATGTACTAAACATACAAAGAAGTATTCCTAAAAAGTTACATGTAATTCAAATGTGTCCTGTTTGACAAGTTAATAATTTTATAAAGTTAGGAGTCTGTAATATAAATGTTTAGATGCTTGAGGATTTTAATTTTATTACTATGAAGGGCACATAGTATCTAAGCTTATTTTTATTGAAATATTATATAAAAAGCTGACAAATACTCTGTAGTGTATTTGAAGTTAACATCTTGAAAAAAGTTTTTTTTTGTTTGTTTCATAATCTTAACCTAATACTGTATGACTACACTTGTTTAATAAGAACATCTAATGTAGATATAGACCTAAAAGAAAGATTACAAAATAACAAAATAATTAATGTAAATATTTTTAAGTTTGTTTCCCATTAGAATTCCCAGCATTTTCAACCTTCCCAGTCCGTACCCGTAAATTCTCTTCTTTAGCCTCTCCGGCATCACTCATGCAGCGCAGAACACGGCTGTGCGCGCTGAGGCTGAGTGGGCTCTATCTTCGCTTGAGCACAGCTTCACTTTACAGCTTCACCATTTCTGTATAAGGGACAAACTGTTTCCTTGCTGTCTACATGGAGTCTGACCTAACAGTAGTTTGCCATTCCTAGTGCTCTTTAAGCTGGTACCTTAAGTCAGAGAAATGCTTTAACTTCCTAACTATTTATGATAGCAGTATATTTAACACAGTCTCATAGGAATGCCCTGAAATTCTTGATGCAGACTCTTCATTATTATCTGTATCAGCACTCTGGGCAGGGGGATAGAAGAGAAGAGGCAACTTTTCCTAAAGTATGCGTATTATAGGATGGATTCTACTAATTTTAAACTGTAAAACGTAATAAGCACTTACTTTCTAAAATCAACATTAAAAGGTTTGAAATTAAGCTTTTTATGATGATTTTAATGAGTCTGCAGGGTAATATATTTGGGTATCTACCCTATTTATAAAACAGATAAACAATATAAGGCACAGTGGAGAATGGTATACAACTATAAAAACTCAAGTGTCCTAGGAGTAGTACATGAAGAAATCATAATTTATGTTAGCATGCTCTAACAATTCCAAAACAAAAGGCTTTGGGGATGTTACGAAAAATGACATCAGGCTTTATGTTAGAAACCTCAGGACTTTCAGGGTATTCTTTGTGCAATTGCTTCTCATATAACCAAAGCTGTACGTGTATATAGAGGAAAGGGCTTATTGCTAGTGGACAGTAAAATCACTATGACCAGTTATCATAATTTATCACACTGCTGGATTTGACAAACTTTAAAAGTAACTCAGTCCAAATTCTTTACATCTTCTTACCTGCTGGCACTCTGATTCAACCAGCAGACCTCAGTGGATAGCTTTTCATACCTTTCTTTTGACTCAATTGCTCTGGTTTCTATTTCTTTGCCTTCTTTAAAACATGCAATTCATACATTTGACAGTTTTACTACCATAGTCAATACATTCTGGACCAATACATTCGCAGCAGGCATTATGGAACCATCGGTATTTGGATGCCCCCATGGACTCACAGGATATTTTACACTGATGTATGGACATGCAGTCATCGAAATAAACCACAGTACACATGTGTTCTGAAAAATAAAAAATTAAGATTTCAAAGCAAGTAATAAGAAAAGTATGAAATATTTTAGTACTTAGCTGAATATTATTAACAGTTATTTTATCTTAGTCCTCTTATTGCTAGTCTGCACAGAACAACAGATGAAGTATAGGGAAAAAGATCACATTTGTTAAGTAGAGAAGGAAGCCAGAGTCTCCCACTCCAGCTAAAAAATGCAAAGGGCTTACTCAGTCTCTTACAGATTTCAGACTTTGATCAGAAAATCAGACTGGGCTTAACAACATTTGTCATGTGTCAGAGTTGTGCTTTTTAAACTGGGCATTTCTGATAAGATGTCCTATGAAGAGAGAATTTTCCAGCTAAAAGAAGTTTGAAAAATACTATTCTGAAGTTATTTAGAGAATTTACAATATAATAAAATAAACTTAAGTAATTCAAATGATGCTAAATGTCTAGCAATCTTGGCACAACTCAACATTAGCTATTAGGAAATACTCATTATTATTAATAACAATTTCTAGTCCTGATTTCCAAGCAACCACATTTGATTGTTTCAATTTTAATTTCTCCTGGTGGTTAACCCCATATGACTACCAAGCTAGGAGAATACGGTACCTGAAATAAAGGACAATAAAAACCATTAATAGAGAGTATATGATTAAAGGCTAAGCTATTTTACAGAACCATTTATAGAACTGATAATCACCAGGGGTCTGACTAGTAAGGGAAAGCTTAGTGGAAAAAATTTTGACTTGTTTTAGGAAGAATTAAAAGCAAAACTACCAGGTAAGAAAATACAAAATGTCACAAGGAGACAGGTATAGTGTGCACAGGAATGGAGCAGAGGCAAGCGTGACTGCAGAGAATGGTTGGCATCAGAAGACACTAGAAACATCACTGGGTATAGAAGATGGGATCTGGTTAAAGAGGAAAACTGAGGAGGCTAGCAGAGCACTACACCAGGCAGACCACCGCGGTTAACAGTGAACAGGACATGGGGAGCATTTAAATCTCCAAGTGACTGGTACCTATCAAACTTACTTCATTATTTATTTAACTATAGTATTTATTAAACATCTATTAAGGAATAGGGACTCAAAGAACTAAGGAACTGAAGGAACTAAGTAGAAAATGGCAGAAATGTAAGTTAGCAGACAACAAATCAAACTGTGAATGTGGGAGGAGTAGGAAGTGGCTACCTCTGCCTGGGGGAAGGGACTCCTCGGGAAGGTGTTACGGAGGAGAACCTTTAGTTATGTCTTGAAGGATAGTTTCTTTTCCAGGAATTACCTTCCTAATTATAAATTCATGAATTTAAATAATTTTTGAGAAAATTTTGTGAATTATTATTTAATATCTATCATCTTGATTATTTACATCACAGGGAAAATGGTAGCAAGACACATTCTATTCACTTATGATGTTTTCCAAGATTTAGAATTTGTCTTATAAAGTACTTCAACTTAAAAGGAAGTAAGAATTCTTACTTTGAATATGATTAACAACAGCTATTTTGCTTTTTCTATTGATGGCCAAAGTTCATACTATTTTAGATAGGTGGGATCGAAATGGAGATGACAACAAAAAGCCAATTTTTAAAAAAGCCCAAATTATACTGTTTACGCATTTCTCTCATATTTTATTTTTATTATTTTTTAAATTTTATTTTATTTTTTCAAATACATTTGTCTCTGCCTTCCCCCCACCACTTTCCCTTGTCCCCTCCCTCCTTCCCTCCCTCAGCTGCTTCCCCTTAGGTTTTGTCCATGAGTCCTTGCTATATGTTCCCTGACTTTCCCCTTCCCTTCCTTTTCCCCGCCCCCCCTTCCCTCCTTCCCTCTTGTCTCTGTTGATTCTTTTCCTTTCACTGTTGCTAGTCTTATTTTGCTTGCATCTTTGTATTGTACCTTAGGTTCCACTTATAGGTGAGATCATACGATATTTGTCTTTCGCCACCTGGCTTATTTCGCTTAGCATAATGCTCTCCAGTTCCATTCAGGCTGTTGCGAAGTTTAGTAGTTCTTTTTTTCTTTCTGCTGCGTAGTATTCCATTGTGTATATGTACCATTACTTTTTGATCCAATCATCTACTGATGGGCATTTAGGTTGCTTCCAACACTTGGCTATTGTAAATTGTGCTGCTATGAACATTGCGGTGCATAGGTTCTTCTGTATTGGCGTTTTGGTATTCTTAGGGTATAGTCCCAGCAGGGGAATCACTGGATCAAAAGGCAGTTCCATTTTCAGCTTTTTGAGGAAATTCCACACTTGCTTTCCACAGTGGCTGCACCAGTCTGCATTCCCACCAACAGTGGACTAGGGTTCCCTTTTCTCCACAGCCTCGCCAGTACCTGCTGTTTGTTGATCCGTTCATAATGGCCATTCTGACCGGTGTGAGGTGGCATCTCATTGTGGTTTTGATCTGCATTTCTCTGATGGCTAGTGATGCCGAGCATCCTTTCAAATGTCCCTGGGCCCTCTGTATCTTGTCCTTGGAAAAGCATCTGCCCAGGTCCTTTGCCCATTTTTTGTTTGGATCGTTTGTCTTCTTGGAGTGGAGTCGAGTGAGTTCTTTATGTATCTTGGAGATCAAACCTCTACCTGATGTATGAAAATATATTTGCTATCATTAGCGAATATATTTTCCCATAGGATTGGCTGCCTTTTCATTTTGCTGATGTTTTCTTTAGCCGTGCAGAAGCTTCATATTTTGATGAGGTCCCACTTGTTTATTCTTTCCTTTACGTCCCTTGCTTTAGGAGACATATCAGTGAAAAAATTGCAGCGTGGTATACCTGAGAGTTTCCTGCCAATGTTCTTCTCGAGGACTTTGATGGTGTTCCGACTTATATTTAAGTCTTTTATCCATCTTGAGTTTGTTTTTGTGTATGGTGTCAGCTGATGATCCAATTTCAATTTTTTGCATGTAGCGGTCCAGCTCTCCCAACACCATTTGTTGAAGAGGCTATTATTGCTCCATTTTATGCTTCTGCCCCCCCCCCTGTCAAATATTAGATGTCCTTATAGACCTGGGCTTATTTCTGGGCTTTCTATTCTGTTCCACTGGTCGATGGGTCTGTTCTTGTGCCAGTACCAGATTGTTTTGAGTATAGTGGCTTTGTAGTAGAGTTTGATGCCCGGTATTGTGATTCCTCCTACTTTGTGTTTCTTTCTCAAAATTGCCGTAGCTATTCGGGGTTGTTTATGGTTCGATATAAATTTTTGAAATGTCTGTTCTATTTCTGTGAAATACATCATTGGTATCTTAATAGGGATTGTGTTGAATCTATAAGTTGCTTTGGGTAGTATGGACATTTTGAAGATATTAATTCTTCCAATCCATGAGCACGGTATATGCTTCCATTTATTTGTGTCTTCCTGAATTTCTTTTTTCAATGTTGTATAGTTTTCTGTGTACAAGTCTTTTACCTCTTTGGTTAAATTTATGCTTAGGTACTTTATTTATCTTCATGCTATATCGAATGGTATTTTTTTCCTGATTTCTTCTTCTTCTATTTCATTGTTGGTGTACAAAAACGCCTTTGATTTCTGAATGTTGACTTTGTATCCTGCTGTTTTGCCAAATTCACTTATTAGGCTGAGGAGTTTTTTGGTAGAGTCTACAGAGTTCTCTATGTACACTATCAGGTCATCTGCAAACAATGATAGCTTTACTTCCTCCTTTCCTATTTGGATGCCTTTTATCTCTTTCTCTTGTCTGACTGCTGTGGCTAGGACTTCCAATACGATGTTGAAAAGAAGCGGTGAGAGCGGACATCCTTGTCGTGTTCCCGAACTTAGTGGGAAAGCCTTCAGTTTTTGTCCATTGAGTATGATATTGGCTGTAGATTTTTCATATATAGCCTTTATTACATTGAGGAATGCCCCATTTATTCCCATTTCGCTTAGAGTTTTGATCATAAATGGGTGCTGTACCTTATCGAATGCTTTTTCTGCATCTATTGAGATGATCATGTGGTTTTTGTCTTTTCTTCTATTTATGTGATGTATCACGTTTACTGATTTGCGTATATTAAACCATCCCTGCATGCCTGGGATGAATCCCACTTGATCGTGGTGGATAATCTTTTGAATGTATTGCTGGATGCGGTTTGCCAATATTTTGTTGAAGATTTTACCATCTATGTTCATCAGCGAAATTGGCCTGTAGTTTTCTTTCTTTGTAGGGTCTTTATCTGGTTTTGGGATCAGGGTGATGCTGGCCTCATAGAAAGAGTCTGGGAGTCTTCCCTCCTCTTGGATTTTTTGGAATAGTCTGAGAAGGAGAGGAGTTAGCTCCTCCTTAAATGTTTTGTAAAATTCTCCTGTGAAACTGTCCGGCCCTGGGCTTTTGTGTGCCAGGACTTTCTTGATGACTGCTTCAATTTCCCCAGCTGTTATCGGTCTGTTCATGCTTTCTGTTTCTTCCTCCTTCAGTGTTGGAAGATTATACTTTTCTAAAAATTTGTCCATTTCATCAAGATTTTCAAATTTCTTGGCATATAATTGTTCACAGTAGTTTCTGACGATCCTTTGTATTTCTGTGGTATCAGTTGTTATTTCTCCTCTTTCATTTCTGATATTATTAATTTGGATCCTCTCCCTTTTTTCTCTTGATGAGTCTGCTAAAGGCTTGTCAATTTTATCTTTTCAAAGAACCAGCTTCTGGATTGGTTTATCCTCTGAACTGTTCTTTTCGTCTCTATGTCGTTCAGTTCTGCTCTAATCTTGACTATTTCCTTCCTTCTACTTGCTCTGGGATTTATTTGTTGTTGTTTCTCCAGTTCTTGACGTTGTGGTGTTAGGTCTTTCATTTGAAATGTCTCTATCTTTTTTAAGTAACCCTGTATTGCTATGAACTTCCCTCTCAGGACCGCCTTTGCTGTGTCCCATAGGTTTTGGACTGTTGTATGTTCATTTTCATTTGTTTCCAGAAATTGTTTGATTTCTTCTCTTATCTCATTATTGACCCATTCATTGTTTAATAGTGTACTGTTCAGTCTCCATGAGTTTGCAAGTTTTTGAAGTTTCTCTTTGAGGTTGATTTCCAGTTTCAAGGCCTTGTGGTCTGAGAAAAAGTTTGGTGTTATTTCAATTTTCCTGAATTTGCTGAGGCTTGCTTTGTGTCCTATCATGTGGTCTATCTCTGAAAAACTGCCATGAGCATTTAAAAAGAATGTGTATTTTTCTTCTTTGGGATGTAAGGTTCTATATATGTCAGTTAAGTCTCTTTCATTCAGTGTGTCATTCAGCGCCACGATATTTTTATTAATGTTTTGTTTGGAAGATCTGTCCATTTTTGACAGTGGGATGTTGAAATCCTCTACTATCAGTGTGTTGCTGTCTATATCTTTTATGAAGTCATCCAACAATTTCCTTATAAACTTGGGGGCTCCTATATTGGGAGCATATAAGTTTACAATGTTGATGTCTTCTTGATAGATTCTTCCTTTAAGTATTATAAAGTGCCCCTCTGGGTCTCTTTTTATGGCCTCTGTTTTGAAGTCTACTTTGTCTGATATAAGAATTGCTACCCCTGCATTTTTTCTCTTGCCCATTTGCTTGGAATATATTTTTTACATCCCTTTACTTTCAATCTGTGTAGGTTCTTGCTCTGAGGTGGGTCTCTTGTAGGCAGCATATGTGTGGGTCATGTTTTCTTATCCATTCAGCTAACCTGTGTCTTTTGATTGGGGCATTTAGTCCACTTACATTGAGAGATATACTGATAGAAAGTTATTCATCTTTTCTCTTTGTACCTGTGTTCTTCTCTCTCTCATTCTTTTCCTTCATTTGCTTAAACCCGTCCCCTTAGCATATCTTGGCGTGCTGGTTTGGTAGAGATGTATCCTTTTCGCCTGCTCTTGTCTGGGAAACTCCTTATTTCCCCTTCTATTTTAATTGAGAGCCTTGCTGGGTAGAGCAGCCTTGGCTGTAGGCCCTTGCTTTTCATGACTTGGAATATTTCTTGCCATTCCCTTCTGGCTTGTAGTGTTTCTGTTGAGAAGTGAGCTCCTAGCCTTATCAGGGCCCCCTTGTATGTTACTTTCTCCTTCTCCCTTGCTGTCTTGAGGATTCTTTCTTTGTCTTTGATAGTTGCCATTTTAATGATGATGTGTCTTGGAGTGGACCTCCTTGGGTCCCTCTTGAGTGGGGTCCTCTGTGCCTCCTGGATCCATAAGAGCCTTTCTCTCCTCAAATTAGGGAAATTTTCCATCATTACTTTTTCGAGGAGGTTCTCTATCTCTTGCTCCTCCTCTTCTCCTTCTGGTATCCCTATTATACGGATAGTATTGCATTTCAGGTTGTCCTGCATTTCCCTCAATGCCTCTTCATTCTTTGTGAGTCTTTTTTCCATTTCTTGTTCTTTCTGGGAGTTTCTTTCTTCCTTATCCTCCATCTCACGGATTCGATCCTTGGCTTCATCCAGCCTGCTTTGGATTCCTTCTACTGTGTTATTCAATTCAGAAATGGTATTCTTCATATCCTCTTGTGTCTTCTTGCTAGCTTCTATGTCCTTTTCCAGGCTGATATAGTTTGCTGTAAGATCCTGATAGTTTTTCTGCAGTTTCTCAGTTACCTTTGAGCTGGTTGAGCTCATCGAGCTTCCTTAGAACCATTGTTTTGAATTCAGTATCTGATAGTTCCCTTGTCTCTATTTCATTTAGCTCTCTCTGTGGGGAGTCCCCTTTTCCACTCATTTGGGGAGAACTTCTTTTTCTTCCCAATTTGTGAGAGTCTGTTAAGTATTTTTGTCCTGTCCTTTTCTTTCTGGGCCTGCCTCTGATGACATCAGTTGTTGACCCTATATGACCTTGGTTTGTTTGTTTGAGCCTTCCAGGAGTCTACTGTCTGTGTCTGACTCCTGCTTGGGGCAGCTCTGTGACCCCTTCGGTCAGGGCTGGGCTATTTTTGGGGATCTCTCTGCACTGTCTCCCCGGCTCCTTGAGCGCGCTCCCGGTGCGCCAGGATCCCCTGCCTGCCTGGGCTCGCATGTGCTTGCCCCAGACCAGGGGGCTTATTCACAGCCTCGCGTACTCATCTGGCCCCCCTGGCCAGCAAGCGCCACGGCACTGGTCAGTTTAGGGTCTTCTATTGTGTTTTCTCCCCACTTTTGGCTCTTTGGGTGCATTGCTTGCCGTCGCCAAATGGGGACTACGGAAATGGGAGGAAGTCAGCTCCAGGACTCTCCGGTTAATCCTGTCTCCGGTCTCTCCTCCAGGGACTCTGGGCAGCTCTGTGACCCCTTCGACTGGGATCTACTAATTTTGTGGGCCGCTCCGCAATCGCGTGTGGGTCAATTTACGCCTTCCCTTGCCGCTCTGTGCACTCCCTCGCAGGTTATGGGTGCCAATCTGTGGGACGCCTTGCCGGCCGGTGCAAGCGTTCATCAGCCCGTGCAGGTCACACACACACTCGCCAACCCTCACCGGTCACTCGGTGCAAGTGTGCGCGCCTGCACTGGCTGTTTTTGGTGTGTCTATGTGTGCTTTTCAGCTTTTGGCTCTTTGGGGGTGTGGCCTCTTCCCGCGCAATGGAGACTACGGCAAGGAGAAGGAGTCGGGACTCCCTGGTTCCTCCTCCCCTTCTTTCCCCAACGCCTCCGTTTCCAGACTCTCCTCAGGGGGTGTCTGGGCAGTTCTGTGACCTCTTCGGCCAAGGATCCACCACCTGTGTGGTCTGCGTTTCAATCGCAGGTAGTCTGGTTCCTGCGCGCCCCACTTCTGCCTCTTCGAGGGTGCGCCTTTCCAGCCCACAATGGAGACTACAGAACAGGGAGGGAGTAGGGATTCCCGAGTTCGTCCTCCCGTTCTTTCCCCAACACCTCCGTCTCCAGTCTCTCCTCAAGGTTCTCCCAGCCAGTCTGCACTCAGTCTCTCAGCTCCCATGCACAAGCTGTGTGCGGAGCGCACAAGAGGCAGGTTAATTGATTCCCTTATGCCTGAGCGAGATGGTAGCTGCAGAGAGGGAGATGCGTTATCACCCGGGCTCCACCGGCCGCTGTGTCAGTTCTCTTTACAAAGTTTTCCTCACCAGTCTTTTCCCAGGCACCAGCCCACTCTGCCGCTGCCTCTACCCAGAGATCAAGGAGGGTGGCTGCCACTGCAATTTTTGCGTTGGCCCTTTAAATGTCTCTCTGCATCCCCAACCACCTGTCTCTGGCAGAGAGCGCCCCTAAGCTTTTCAGGGTTGCGTTTTGTCTATTTTCTTGGTTTTAGCTGCTGTAGTTTAGGGGTCCCTGTTTATGACTCAGACCCCGTTCTTCTTGGAGGGAGCTAACTGGCTGTTTCAATGTCCCTCTGGTGCTAGTGCCCATGGGCACCCAGCTCACCCTTTCGAGCCTCCACTGCACTTCTCACCCATTGGGATGTGTGAGAGTCGAAACTGTCTGTCTGTGGCTCCAAGGCTCCTCTCCCACTATTGTTCCATTGTTTTCCAGGTGACTGCTCCACTATTTAGTCGCAATTCCAGTTTGGTCTTGGGAGGAGGTCAACGTGGCTCCCATTCACTTTCCCGCCATCTTCTCTCCTCTCTCTCTCATATTTTAATAACCGTAATTTTTATAATTGCCTTACTCTTCCACAGTAAAACTGTATAGAGCCTTTTATTTAAAAAAATCAGACTTTCAAAGTTACATGTCTTTTATATTCCAAAATTACAGTATGACCTATCCTCACTAATAAATGCTCTCTAACAGGTTTCTCAAAGTTGTATATGTTCTTCTCTCATTTGGTTTCCCTTCTGACCAACAGTACTCATTTGCCGGGAACTGAGTGCAGTTAGTTTATACCAGGAAATTAGACGTCTGTAATACTGACTTGCTTATAAGGAAATTTAGCTAATAACCTGGCATCATTTGTGATACCACAGGTATTTTAAAAACCCGAATTCCAAGGATACTTTGAATGATACCTGATGGTGAGCAGTACTAATGCTATATTATGTACGCAGTACTGTTGCTATCTTATGAAAAGAATAATTAAAGTCTAACACAAATATTGGGACCATATATCTATCTTCCAGTATAGCTTTTATCACTGAGAATATGAAGGAGTTGTGACAACATGCTTGACATGCCTCCTTATCTACTCAGGGATTTGGGGTTATTCTAGAATTTACTTAAGGCTATACAAACTCAAAACAAAAAACCTGCCCTTAAGAAGATCAACATAATATAGGTTTCAGAGACCACAAAGAATGGGAGGGGGCAGGATAGAAAAAGTCCATTTTTGGCAATTACCTTTGTCACTGGAATAAGGTGCATGAACATTATTGCTGGGAACAGACACATTTTGGTGGTGTGGTTGGCTTACAGTCTCCAAAAATGAAACCAGATTCTCATGATGTGAAAGTTCTTCTGCAACAGGGAAGGAAACGATGTTCCAGTTCAACTGAGTGTCTCCTTCTGTGAGTGCCCGGAAGAGAGATGGGATTGGCTCATGAAGCTCCTCCACCGTACTCTTTGAAGTTGGAGGTGTGTCACTATAATTTCGAGGATTACACATACCTGGGGATTGGAGGAGCAAAGAGAGTAAGTTTATTTTTCTCACTAATTGTAATGCCGTAAGCTATTGTTAATTACTGCCCTCTAATCAACACTCCAGCATATTAAAATTATGTGACATCTAGCATTATATCTATTTCTCTAGCTTTTTCTTTCTCCTAGTGGGCCTAGAAGTGATGACACCTCAGTAGCATCAAGCACACTGAGCACCCATATTTTGTACCTCAGCTCCATTAAGAGGAACGAGAGCTCCTTGGAGAAAAGAGTGATTCTACGGACCAATTGGGAAAAGTACAAAATCACCCTTTATATGCCAGAAAGTAAAGAATGATGGGACATGTTGAGAAAACACAGGAGCCAAACTGAAGGGGATCCCCCGCTGGCCAAATTGATAATTTAACACTAAAATAAATGACAGAAATGGATTACCACCTTGTGAATAAAATAGAAATTGGTAAGTCCTTTTATTATAAATTAATGAATTAGTACATGGAGGAGAATGGAAAAGCTCTTCCTTTTACTAGAGTGCCAACTGATAAATGTAGAAGAAATGAAGGAAATAGAAAATCACCATTTGGCACCCATGATAGAGGTGTGTGATTTAGATGAAAGTTGTCAATGGATGCTAGGGCTAATGGGTGAGGTTTGATGAGTAACATATTGATGTACTCCTGGAAAACCCTCTACAAAATACTAATGTGAAAAAGTTTGGCAGACACCAGAGTGACCACAAGATCAAGGTTAACACTGCCAGTGATGTACTGCATAGATTCATTTCAGTGATGTTGTTGCCAAGAATGTATGGCTTAAGTATGATCATCAATCAACATGAGGTGGATCAAAATTGAGTGTCATCCTACATAAAGTAAGGCTTGTAGTTATTAAACTGTCAAGGGAAAGACTAAGAGACTGTTTCAGATTGAACGAGCCTGAACAGACAGGGTAACTAAATTGAAAGGATCCTAGACCAGAAAGAAACAAGAGATACTGTTGAGTTGGCAAAATACAAATCGGGTTTGTGGATTGGGTGGCAATGCTGTTGGCTTTCTGATTTGGAGGGCTATATGCTCCTTACGTAGGAGAATGTCCTTGTTGTTGGAAAATCCAGACTGGGGTATTTAGTAGTGATGGGACATCACCTGTAAAGCCTGCCTTCTGAATGTTCAAAAGAGTCTACGGCCATACCACTCTGAACACGCCTGATCTTGTCCAAATGTTCAAAACAGATGAATGATTACGGGGGCGGGGGGGCGGTGTGCCCATACATGTGTGAGTGTGTGAGTGAGTGTGTGTGTGTGCAGGGAAAGGGAAAGAGCCTGGGTTACTGAGCAATGGAACAAATTCATTAATGTTAAGAACGGGGGAATCGGGGTGAGAGGATAAGGGGGTCTTTTTACCCTTCTGGCAAATTTTCTCCACATTTGAAATTATTTCAAAATGAATTCTTTTAAAATACATTTTTAAAAGGAGAAAATGGCAGAAAAGAATTAGAGATACTGACCACAGAAAACTTTTTCAGGGAGTTTAAAAAGGAGCTATAAAAAGAAGAGCTGAGAAAATGTTTAATTAGCCCCAGCTTTTGAGTTGTCTTAGCTGCCACTATGTAGGGAAAAGAACTACCCCAAAGAAACATGCTCAAAATGTAGACTTGTGAGCTAATTAAATGATTATTATGGTTTTAAACCACTATGTTTTGGGGTAGGTTGTTTAATAGCAGTAACAACTGCAACAGAGTTCTCTGGATTCCCTTTTGTGAATATTATACTTTTAAAAAATTGATCCGAGAGAGAGAGAGAGGAGATGTGAGCGAGAAACAATGACTGGTTGCCTCCCATATGCGCCCCAACCAGGGACTGAACTTGCAACCTAGGTATGTGCCCTGAGCAGGGACTGAACCCACGACCTAGGTATGAGCCCTGACTAGGAATCAAACCTATAACCTTTTGGTGTATGGGATGATGTCCCAACCAACTAAGCCACTTGGCCACGGCAAGAACATTATACTTTTAAAGGCTAAATAATTCTTTTATTTTACTTTTTAAAAAAAGATTTTATTTATTTATTTTTAGAGAGAGGCAAAGGGAAAAAGAGAGGGAGGGAAAAAGAGAGGGAGGGAAACATTGATGTGCGAGACAAACGTAGATTGGTTGCCTCTTGGACACCCCCAACTGGGGACCTGACCTGCAACTCAGGCACAGGACCCACCTGGCAATTGAACCAGTGACCCTCCGGTTCACAGGCCCGTGCTCAATCCATTGAGCCACACCAGCCAGGGCTAAACTATACTTTTAAAGGCTACTGAGTATAAGGTGAAGTTTTTCTTCTTTTTCAAGGTTAAAAGTTTGAAAAATTAGATGAAATTTATGAATTCCTCTATTTTATAAATTTAGGGAGACAGAAAAACCATCTCATGTGTTTTCCACAATTTTTTATTTTAAGGAACATGACCAGAGCTGAGAATAACAAGGTTGTCCATGATCTTTGTAAAATCTTTCAATATAGCTGAACTTTTATGATTTAGATTGCATGATGAAGTCATGGATTAAATGATCAAATATGACTCCTTTGTTCACAAAAGAGGAAACAGGCCCAGATAAGTGAAATGATCTGTCCAATGTTATATAATCTAGGATTAGAGCCAAGATTATGATTCAGTCTGATTTCATGTCTACTTCTCTAATAATAATTCTAATAATACTTAGAATATTTGTTTATACAAATGTGCATAATATATTCTTCTATCAGATTCTATAATGAATGAAAATTAGTAAACAGAGATGAAAAACTAAACAACTGAGTTCAACAGTTCAAAAAGCTAAAAGAAACTCCAGAACTCATTACAGGAAATTTCATTAAAAATCTCTTTTGGAGTTCTGTACATTTAATAACCTTAGGTAAAAAACATTTCTAATTTAAATCTCAACACACTTCATTAAAACCAGTAAGCATGAAGTAAATGCTTGCTAGACAATATTTTTCTATAGAACCATTAAAAAGTATTCATCTATCTTCTGTGCTTAATTAGCATTATAGTCAAAGAAATAATCACAAAAGGCTCTTTCTAGGCAATGCTGATTTTGACACTTCATTTCCTGCCTGAAGCACTCTTCTAATTGTGTATTCTTTCAAGCTTGGTAAACTATGAAATCTTCCAATGATGTGGGGGGCTGTCCTGTTGAGGGGAGGAGTAGCCTTTTGAAATTTATGTAAATTCTTTAGCTGTCCATATTCATTATGTACAACAGATTAATTTCTGTGGACAGTTACTAACCACCCACAGTTTAAGTCAGTTAATAAAACCTTTCTGGGAAGCATCTCATATTGTCTTGAAGTTTGTCATTGTTGGAGAGCTTTTCTTTAGTTGGGTACACAGTTCATTTTTCGAGCTCTCCTTTCTCTTCGTGATCATTTTCTTAAGATAGCGTGGTACTATAACGGGGTGCTGAGCTAGAGGTCTCCAAAACCCCCATTAACCTGGTTTCTGGGAAGGGGAAGCAGAGGAGGGCCATTGAAGAGTTATCTGTACATCTAAAGAACTTGGCCAGTGTTTTAGTAATGCTAATAGCTGTGTGTGCCTCCTGTGCCCTCACCCTGGGAGCCAGGGAGATGGGTGTGACTCTAACTGGTGATGCAGCTGGGATGCAGTCCCCCAGCTACAGTGCCTGCTGGAGAAAGGCTTGGAGGAGGTTGTCCTACAGGTTCTCCTATGTCAGGGGTCATGCCTACCCAGACTAACAATGGCGGCCAAGGAAGGCAGAAGAGACCAGAGTACTGGCAGGTGTAACCCTTTGTGGGAGGAACTAGAGACAGGGTTTTGGAGGAAGATCCACCCAGGGTTTAAACCCAAGTGCGGGGCAGCTATGCTGTCTTGGCAGTGTGGTTTGAAAGGATGCAGAAGGACCCCATCAGCACACCATGAGGAGGGCCAGGCATAGTTTTGGATTAAGAGCAGGAGTGGAGCCTAGCCTAGCAGAGACGACTGGGAGAAGCTGGAATGTTGAAATAGGAATCTGCCTAGCTAAGCTACAGACTTCTATTTCTTTTCCTGAGAGATTATACCTCTGACTGGCCTGGTCTTGCCAGGGGAGGCAGGACTGTGTGTGATTGTGGGTGTTTCTTTTGTTTTTAAGGGAGTGGGATTTAATGGCAGAATTCCACCATTGTTCTAAATGTCTAACTTTAGAATAAGTAGTTCCTTTCCATTTTATAGAACTCTTGACTATGGGGAGATCATGGTTTTATTGGTGGTGGACAGCAGAACCCAGAGTGGTTCTATTTCACTTTGTGGCACTACATCAAAATTTAAATACTAATTATACTAAAAAATTTCAAAGTTTGTTACTTTGTGGCATTCTCTCACTACATCAAAATTTAAATACTAATTATACTAAACATTTTAAAGAAACTGATTCTGTACATGACAGGGAAGCCAAAAATCAGGAACCAAGTGGCAACAATTGAAAAGGAAACCATTTCAAATCCTTTCAGCGCATACAATTCTGATACTATTCTTTCACAAAGCCAGAATTCACTATCATGCTTTTGATCTACAAATACTAAACACAAATAATTTTTCTGTTTATGTTTAATTATTTTGTTTATGTTTATGTTTAATTCTTTTATGTTTATGTTTAATTCTTTTGTATATATGACCTGCTGTCATCATACATTTGAAAACCAAGAATATGTTAAAGTATTAAATAGAATTTACTCAATGAAACCATATTTTAGTGTAGAAATTAAGACTAAGGGGTGAAAGTTACTATTTTCTCAAATGAATGTGCATGGTTAAACAACAAATAGTCCACAAGATCTTATAATGAAAAGCAACATTCCTTTTCACTCCTCCCAACACCCTGCCCCAATTCCACTCCCCACACACAGCCACTTTAAAATAAATAAAATCTTTAAAAAATATAAATGAAAGTCTGTTTGTAAGTTTCTCTGGTGGTTACCTTTACAAGAATTTAAATAAAAAGAACTGATTTACAAGTAGCAGTAAA